GGGTTGTTTTCACCTTTAGGCTATTATGAATGATGCCACCATGAACATTCATGTTCAAGTCTTTGTATAGTCATGCTCGCATTTCTCTTGGGTATATACCTATGAGTGAAATCCTAGGTTATATGGTAACTCCATGTTTAAACAATTAGGGAAATCACCAAATTGTTTTCAAAAGCAGCTCTGCCATTTTACATTCCCACCAGCAATGCACAAAGGTTCCAGTTTCTCTACATCATTAACAATTCTTGTTATTGCTGTCTTTTTTATTTTAAACATTTTAGTGGGCATGAACTGCTGGAATCTCATTGTAGTTTTGATTTACATTTCCCTAATGACTAATCATGTTGAGAATCTTTTTACTTGCTTATTAGCTATTTGTATATCTTCTTTAGAGAAATATATTCAGACTTCTTGTTCATTTTTAATTGGATTATTTGTCTTTAATTATTGAATTATAAGAGCACTTTATATATTCTGAATACAATATACTTAATATATTCTGGAAACTTACCAGATACATAATTTGCAAATATTTTCTCACATTCTGTGGGTTGTCTTTTTTTAAATTGTGGTTAAATATGTGTAATATAAAATTTACTATTTTAGTTATTTTTAACTGTTCTGTGACGTAGAGTTCACCCATGCCCATGCTGTTGCATGTGCCAGAATGTCCTTCCTTTTTAAGGCTGAACAATATTCCATCTTATGTAAATACTACATTTTGTTAATCCATTCATGTGTTGATGGACATTTGGGTTGTTTTTACCTTTTAGCTATTGTGAATAATGCTGCTATGAACATTAATATACAAATATCTGCTTGAGACCCTGCTTTCAATTCTTTTGGCTATATACAGAAGTAAGACTGCTGGACCATATGGTAATTCTATGTTTAATTATTTAAGGAATCGCCACAGAGTTTTACGTAGCAGCTGCTCCATTTTACATTCCACCAGCAACGTACAAGTGTTCCAGTCTCTCTGCTTTCTCACCAACATTTATTATTTTTTGGCTTTATTTTTTTAAATAATAACCATCTTAATGAGTAAAAAGTTAATATCTCAAAAGTGGCTTTGATTTGCATTTCTTTTCACTTTCTTGATGGTATTGTTTACGGCACAAAAGGTTTTATTTTGATGAAGTCCAATTTGTCTATCCCTTGTTGCTTGTGTTTTTGGTATTGCCTAAGAAGCCATTACCTAATCCGAGGTCAAAAGATTTACTCCTGTGTTTTCTTCTAAGAGATTTATAATTTTAGCTATTGCAGTTAGGTCTATTATCCATGTTGAGTTAATTTTTGTTTGTGGTATAAGGAAGAGATCCAACTTCATTCTTTTGCATGTGGATATCCAGTTGTTCCAGCACCATTTGCTGAAAAGACTGTTCTTCCCTCTATTGAATTGTCTTGGCACCCTTGTCGAAAATTAATGTCTATAAAAGTGAGAATTTATTTCTGGACTCTTAATTGTGTTACATTGATCAAATGTCTTGATTACTGTAGCATTGTAGCAAGTTTTGAAATTGGGAAGGTTAAACCCTTCAACTCTGCTCTTCGTTTTCAAGATTGTTTTGGCTCTTCTGGGTCTCTTGCATTTTCATAAGAATTTTAGAGTCAGTTTGTGAATTTCTGCAAAAAAGGCATCTGGCATTGCGATAGGGGTTACAGTCAATCTATAGATCAATTTAGGGGAATTCTGCCATCTTAATAACATTTAAGTCTTCTGATCCATGAATATTGGATGTTTTTCCATTTATGTATATCTTCTCTAGTTTCTTTTTTTTATTTTTTATTTTTTCTGGATAGAGAGGCTGGAGGCTGAATGCCTAAACAGCCACCCCCTCTTCTCTAGTTTCTTTCAACAATGTTTTGTAGTTTTCTAAGTATTCTTTTTGATGCTATCGTGAAGGAATTATTTTTTTTATTTCATTTTTGAATTGTTCCTTGATAGCATATTTTTTTTTAATTATTTTTTTTATTTTGGCATATTATGGGGGTACAGATTTTAAGGTTTCAATAAATGCCCATTTCCCCCCCTCCCCCCAAAGTTGAGTCTCCATCATGACCATCCCCAGATGGTGCACATCTCACTCACTATGTATGTATATACCGCCCCTCCCCCTCCCACCTGCCCAATACCCTATTACTGTAGCACCTATGTGTCCACTTAGGTGCTACCTTGATAGCATATTGAAATATAAGTGATTTTTGCATATTGTTCTTATATCCTGCAACTTTGCTGAACTTGCTTTTTAGTTCTAGTAGATTTTTTAGTGGATTCCTTAAGGTTTTCTAGATACAAGATCATATTGTCTGCGAATAGAGGCAGTTTTACTTCTTCATTTCCAGCCTAGATGTCTTTTATTTCTTTTGCTTACCTAATTGTCCTGCCTAGAACCTTTAATGCAATGTTGAATAGAAGTTGCAAGAGGGGGCATCTCTGTCTTGTTCCTAGTCTTAAAGGGAACTAATTCAGTCATTTTCCATCAAGTATGAAGTTAGCTCTGGGTTTTTTTGTAGATGCCCTTTATCAGGTTGAGGAAGTTCCATCTATTTTTAATTTTTTTTTTTTATATATATATCAGTTGGCCAATTAATTTCTTTCTGTTTATAGTAGAGACGGGTCTCCTCTTGCTCAGGCTGGTTTTGAACTCCTGACCTTGAGCAATCCGCCCGCCTCGGCCTCCCAAGAGCTAGGATTACAGGCGTGAGCCACAGCGCCCGGCCTCATCTATTTTTAGTTTGAGTGTTTTTATAATGAAAAAGTATTGGATTTTGTCAAATCCAATGCTTTTTCTGTGTCTTTTGAGGTGATCATATGGTATTTTTTTAACCTTTATTCTATTGATATATTATATTGATTTTCTTGTGTTTAACCAACCTTGCATTTCTAGGATAGATCTCACTTTGTCATTGTGTATAACCCTTTTTATATATTACTGGAATCAATGTGCTGGTATTCTGTTGAGGATTTTTTTTTTTGTTTTTTTTGTTTTTTTTGTTTTTTTTGAGACAGAGTCTCACTTTGTTGCCCAGGCTAGAGTGAGTGCCGTGGCGTCAGCCTAGCTCACAGCAACCTCAATCTCCGGGGCTCAGCGATCCTACTGCCTCAGCCTCCCGAGTAGCTGGGACTACAGGCATGCGCCACCATGCCCGGCTAATTTTTTGTATATATATTTTTAGTTGGTCAATTAATTTATTTCTATTTTTGGTAGAGACGGGGTCTCGCTCAGGCTGGTTTTGAACTCCTGACCTTGAGCAATCCGCCCGCCTCGGCCTCCCAAAGTGCTAGGATTACAGGCGTGAGCCACCACGCCCGGCTATGTTGAGGATTTTTTTTCTATATGCATAAAGGATAATGGTCTATGGTGTTTTTTTCCTTACGATGCCTTTGTCTAGTTTTGATATCAGAGTAATATTGGCTTCACAGAATGAATTGGAAAGTATTTTATTTTTGAAAGAATTTGTGAAGAATTAGAATGAATTCTTCTTTAAATGTTTGGTAGAATTTACTAGTGAAGGAATCTGGACTTGAACCTTGGTTATGCGTTTGTGTGTATGTGTGTTGGGAGGAGGTCAATTACTACTCCAGTCCTTTTACTTGTAGCATTGTTTCTTATTTATGGAGCTTGCAAGCTGCTTGTAGATACACACTTCTGTAATGGAGAGAGAATCTGGAAAGAGTGGGCCCAGTGGGAATTTGGAAATTTAAGGGTTTCTAGTTGGTTCTGCCTAGAGCCGTGCCTTCTCCTCTCCTCTGTTGTCCCTTGGATAGAAAAGATGGCTGTGTAGGTTCACCTAAAACAGGAGGGAGTTGACATTCAGACCAAAACATCAGTAGAAGCTTTCTTCCCCTTCACAAAGGATACCCCAGTAGGCTGTGAAGCCTCCCAGGAGCCTTCAGGTTATGTTGTGTGTGTGTGTTCACATGTGTGTATATGCGTGTGTTCTGCCTTACCTTAAATATTAATAAAAAGTAAAGGGACCTCAACTGTTTAGATTCCCAGATCATACATGATAGACCATGATGACTCCAACAAAGCCACTTAAAGAACGAAGTAGCTCTCTATGTGCTGATAGTAAGTGAGCTCTAAAATATATAATTAAGTGAAATCTGCAAAATAATGTGCTTCCATCTATGTCAAAAGAAAAAGATGTAAGGGAACCTATAGGTGCACATGGGCTGGTAAGTGCAGAGTACCGTGGACACCCAAGACAAAGAGTCAGGGGTAGTGGGAGACTTCATGCCCCGTGGACCTTAAAGAAAAAATTTTTAAACAACAGTGGCCTTAAACAGAAACATTTTTAAGGTAATGGGCCTGTGTGAAGTATAGTTGTACGGCTAAGAGGTAGCTCTTTCCTCATGGAAACACTGTCCCTTGGCAGAGTCTGTACATCTCTGCTGAGGGGTATGAGGCACTATCGAGACCTCCATTTACCGGAAGCCATGCGCTCCTCAGAAATCCCTGACTCTGCCTACTTGTGGGAAGCTGGTGACAGATCTCAAAGGCCCTCTAATGTTGGGTGTTCCCTTCTGAGCACTGTTTCAGCCACACAGAAATCCTGGTCTGTCTTTCCAAGGGGAAGGGCTTTTACTGCCCTCCAGCCTCCCTGTGGACTTCTGGCCAGGTGGCCCCACAGAAAAGCACTTTCTTCTTTCCTGGCAGATCTAATTATGGCTGCCACCTCCCACCGTGTGTCAGGGAGCTGAGGAGGTGAAGCAGATGCCAGGAGTCTTTGGGCTTCCCAGGCCAAGTGCACATCCACACCAGCGGTCTGTCCTTTTCCACTGAAGGCTGACAGAATTGGCAAACAGGAACAGTTTGGTTTTTTCAAATATCCACAGACTCTTTGCTTCCATCCGGTGAATGCTTCTTCCCCTTCACAGAGGATATCCCAGTAGGCTGGGGAGCTTCCCAGCCTGGGCTTCTGAGGTCCCAGGTCAGATTCCAGGCCTGGATCTGGGGCCTCAAACACTGAGGATCCTTGTGTCTCTCCCACAGAGAACACCTTCTGCAGTGGGGACCACGTGTCTTGGCACAGCCCTTTGGATAACAGTGAGTCAAGAATTCAGCACATGCTGCTGACGGAAGACCCACAGATGCAGCCTGTGCAGACACCGTTTGGGGTAGTTACTTTTCTCCAGGTGAGGTGCAGGTTGGACGTTGGCTTGAGCCTTTCCTGTAAGAAAAGTTCTGACAGGACAGGGGGGCTTAGGTAGGAGGAATGAAGGGAGTGGGAGGTTTTTTTTGTCTTATCTCATTTTCTCTTCCCTCCAGTGGGTTTTCAAGTAGATTTAGGTGGTTTAACCTGCTGAGATGAGAGAAAGAGGAAGGAGGAAGGAGCTGTCTGGGTGGGAGGGAATGGCTATAACGGGACGGGTATGCTGAGAACTGGTAAAGACTGGGACATTGGCAGGCACAGGACTTCCTAGCAGGAGCCAGCTCTGGTCTGGACTTGCCTTTTCCCAGAAGCAGTGTGAATCTACCCCAGCTTTGGCCAGTGCCTGCTTTTGGTCATGATGAGATCCATGCAAAAGTTTAGTTGTTCCCCGAACCTCCCCTGCTTCCAGAGACACGGCCTAAGGACCCCCCAGAGTTGGCTCCGACCTTAATTTTTCTCCTCTGCAGCCTGGAGCTAGACTTTGTGTCAGACAGACACCTGGCCCATCCCAGCAAGGGCAAGGGGCAGGCCTCAGTGCCTGTCTATGGGCCCAGACACTCCCTCCTAAGGGAACCACCCCAGTTTGGACACACCAGCCCCTGAGCACAGGTCCTGCCTGGGGTCCCCCCACTTGAGGTGACCCTAAGAAAGCCTAAGTGGCTGATCCTCTGGGAGGGATGGCCATTAACAGACAGTGGCTTCTTGTCTTCAGATCGTTGGGGTCTGCACTGAGGAGCTACACTCAGCCCAGCAGTGGAATGGGCAGGGCATCCTGGAGCTGCTGCGCACGGTGCCTGTGTGAGTACCCACTGCCCAGGGCCTGCGGGCGGGAGTCCCTCCTCCGCCCCACTCCCTGACAGCCCCTGACCAGGAACTGTTCCCCTATATTCTGGGCCTGGGGCAGCAAGCAGGGCAGGCTGCAGGCCTGGCCCTTCAGCTCCAGACCCTCAGTTACCATCATGTCCCCTTTCCTTGTCCACAGTGCTGGCGGCCCCTGGCTGATCACTGACATGCGGAGGGGAGAGACCATATTTGAGATCGATCCACACCTGCAAGTATGTCTTGAGTGAGGAAAACCTTTCTAGCACACTGTGCCTAGGCCTCTTCCAAATAACACTGGCTTTCATCCTGGGAAAACGGAGGAACTTTATTTGTGAGTGAGTAGAAATATGGCATAATTTGGAACTTGTCCCCTGAATTCTGCAGAGCACACAGGGAACAGAGCTTTTAGCCCAGGAAAGCTAATCTCAGACACGTATATTTTTACATTTAAAAAGGGCAAATTTTCCCAGCTACTCTGGAGGCTGAGGCAGCAGGATCCCTTGAGCCCAGGAGTCTGAGGTTGCTGTGAGCTAGGCTGATGCCATGGCACTCACTCTAGCCTAGGCATCAAAGCGAGACTCTGTCTCAAAAAATAAAAATAAATAAATAAATAAAAAGGGCAAATTTTATTGTATCTAAATTACATATTAGCTTAAATAATGAGATCACCAGCAATGAAAGAAAATAAATGTAGTGGATATTGCCTACTTGCCTAGTATTCATTTCCCTACTTCCTCCTTCTTCAAAGAACACCGGTGCTGAGGCTCATACCTGTAATCCCAGCACTTTGGTAGGCTGAGATGGGAGGCTCACTTGAGGCCAGGAGTTTGAGACCAGCCTGGGTAACGTAGCAAACCCTGTCTCTAAAAAAAATAAATAAGAAAAAGCTAGCAGGATGTGGTGCCCTATACCTATAGTCCCAGGTACTCGGGAGGCTGAGATGGGAGGATTTCTTGAGCCCAGGAGTTCGAGGTTGCAGTGAGCTATGATGATGGCACTGTATTCTAGCCTGGGAAACAGAGAGAGACTCTCTCTAAAAAATGAGAGAGAGAGAAGAACACAGGCTTTTATTCAGGGAGCCACCCCATGGCCACCACTACCCTGTAACAGACAGTGGCTTAGGTGGTACTGACCCCATGGCCCAGCTACAGGGGTGAGTGCTGATTGATCTCAGAATCCCATCCCTACTTTTGACACATTTTCTGTCTTGGGCAGTCAGATACCAAACTCCTGCCCTGGATAGGTTGGCACTCCTTAATGTGTAAAGGGATCTTTAGACATACAGGCCTACAGTTGCCACTCACTGTGGCCCACCTGGAAGAGTTTCAGTGTCATTTTTGCTGTTTTAGAAGCACTCCTTTGGCATACAGGTGAATTTTGAAAGTCACAAGAGAATAACTGCCTCTCTTACGGGTTGCTCATGAAACAGGAAAAGCAGACAGCTAATACTGTGTCTGCCATGTATCTGGCTCCTTCTACTCCCCCTACCAACTGCAGATCATTGCTGCCTCTGAACCTCTAATGCTTCTATAAAGATCTGGTAGGCCACAGGCAGCTTTCAGGAGTTCCATGTGCTACAGCAAGGGAAAGGTGGCAGGTGGACAGGTAGCCAGCAGTCCCTGGTCCTTTACTGCAGACCTGCAGATTCTTGGGCATAAATCCTCTTCATTCACAGATGATGCTCCTCTGTTTTCCTAATGCCTTTAACCATGAAATTTTCAAATTGCTGCCAGGATCCTCTGTTATCTCTACTTTAAACTTGGTTTCCTTATAGCTTCTGCTTATGCAAGAACCAGGAACCAGGAAGGCTATGTTTCCCTAAGCCCTTGTTCTGCAGCCACACTGGGATCCAGCATGGGGCACTGTGGGCTGTTGTTTGGCCCTGTCATAAGTGCCAAGTACTAAGAAAGAACCTGATCCCTTGAACTAGTGGGGTAAGCACACTGTCCTTTGTCTGCATGCTAAGAACAGTTCCCTTCCTAGTCTTCAGGCTCCCCTGAGACCAGCCAGCAGGACCTAGAACACCCAGTGGTCTTTAAAAGCAAGCAAGGAGGAGGCTGAGGCGGGCAGATTGCTCGAGGTCAGGAGTTCGAAACCAGCCTGAGCAAGAGCGAGACCCCGTCTCTACTATAAATAGAAAGAAATTAATTGGCCAACTAATATATATAGAAAAAATCAGCCAGGCATGGTGGCGCATGCCTGTAGTCCCAGCTACTCGGGAGGCTGAGGCAGCAGGATTGCTTGAGCCCAGGAGTTTGAGGTTGCTGTGAGCTAGGCTGACGCCACGGCACTCACTCTAGCCTGGGCAACAAGCGAGACTCTGTCTCAAAAAAAAAAAAAAAAAAAGCAAGCAAGGAGCCTGTGGGGAGAAAGTACAGCTTTCTTCCTGGTAGCACCAAGTATGAACTCCTCTGTGTCCACTTGTATCTTTCCGGTGTCTGCTAGCTAGTGTTGCTGTGATCCAAGCTCTACCACTAACCAGGTGTGTGCCTAAACAAGTCCCTTAACTTCTCTGGGTCTTAACTCTTTCTTTTTTACTTGTTAAGTAAGTAGGCTGGACCAGTTGAACCAAAAGGTGTCTGTCCTCACTCAGATCTTTGCCTAAGTGAGGGGCCTCAGGGCAGCCAGTGGAGAGGGAAAAGCTCAGGCTCTCCCCTGAGCAAACCAGGGCTCCGCACGTTCCCTGCCCAGAGCATGCAGAGCTGCCTCCCTACTCAGAATCTCCAGCTTTACCTAGGGTGATAAGAGCCCTGAAAAAGAGGAGAGAGTAGAGGGAGGCATCTAGAACAGGGCCACTTGCTGACTGGTCCCAAGAAATAAGGATAATACCTGTACTTTCCCCCAGATAGGCTCCCTAGCTGACCGCAGGCCAGTGTGGTCCCTATGGAGCCATGGGAAGAGGGGCAGGTGAGCAGGGGAGTGCAGACTTGTTGAGGTGTTCAGTCAGAAGGAGCTTTATTTGGCTCACCTGGTTGTTTTTGGCCAAGGTTGCTAGAGCTTTCCTAGTGATCTTTAATCCAAACTTCAGCATCACAGAACTATGTTTAACCAGAAAAGCCAGGGATGTTTTGAGTATATCTCTTCCTTGAGGCCATTTGAAGAGTGTTTGGACCCAGCAATACCAAGGGCAGTACAAAGGCAGGGCTGCCAGGAGGTCTGCAGATGGTCACTATCCTCCAGGCCCCCATTTCAGTCTAAGAAATGGAAAATAAATTCTATCCAGAATCCTTTGCCAAACAAGTGAGCTAGGGGAAGTCTAGCCTTTCTGCTGTCCAGTGGTGCTTCCCTGTGTGACCACACCCTCTAGCTGTTAGAAGGGGAAACTGCAGGTGTGGCCTCTCCCGCCTGTGGCAAGCTTCCAGTGTCTTCTGTAGCAGTGATGGGGAGTTCTTCCTGGAGGACCAGAAGGAGAGGAAGGATCTCGCCTTTCCTCAGGGAAGTGGGTCCTATTTTGGCCACATCAGTTTCATGGGCCAGCGTGGAGTGGGCAGAGGTAGGGCTCTGAAATAAGTGTGAAGGCTATTGTACCAGAAGGTCGATAGTAGAGAAGCTTCCCTTGGGATTTTCATTCCTCCTGGCTTCCCCTAATCCTTGGTTCCCCTGGATTAGGGGCTGGCAGAGACCTTCATACATTGGTAACCAGGGCAGAACAAGGTCAGACACCCTGCTCTTCCAGCAGCTGTCCCATGTTTAGCACCTACAAGGGCTTAGTAAATACTGTACGGGTGGTGGCTGGGAGGGTGATAGTGACCTTGGGCTACCAGTTCTCTGAAGGAACTCTGGCTCTTTGGTTCTTTTCAAGCAGGAGAGAGTTGACAAAGGCATCGAGACAGACGGCTCCAACCTGAGCGGTGTTAGTGCCAAGTGTGCCTGGGATGACCTGAGCCGACCCCCTGAGGATGACGAGGACAGCCGGAGCATCTGCATCGGCACACAGCCCCGGCGGCTCTCTGGCAAAGGTGGGAGCCATCGCCCAGCTTTCCTCCTTCCTTTTCCCCAGGCCTGGTTTTCAGGTTCTCTAAGATGGATCTCTAACAAAAACAGCCCATTCAATAGTTTATTTCCTGGCCTGATTTAAACAGCAAGTGAAGTCTTCCAGCAGGGTGGAATTAAGGGAGCTTTATTGGCCCATTTCTGGCTGTGTTTCCTGTGTGTATTTCAAATGCACCACCAGCAGGGACTATTGTGTTTTAGATTTGCCCGTTGCAATCTAAGGTCATGAAGGTGAGTGGAAGCCATAGAACAGTTACAGGAAAAGTCCACAGTCCACCCAAGTGCAAGAGAACAAGTGTCGGCCACCCACGTAATTGACACAGGGCCCAGCTCTGGCCTGAAAGCCATGCCAAATCCAAGGATCACTCTGGCCTCAGGCCCTCCCAGGCATTCAATAAGAGAGGCCTGAGTGTGAAGCCAGCTTGCAAACAGTCCCTGCTCCCTGTCCTGCAGATACAGGGTAAGGGGCTGTGGTCAGGGCCCCTATACCCACTGTGCTCCTGGTGGGGCTTGGGGAAAAGAGGCCGTGGGTGTCCTGTTGGAAGCTGCCCAGGCTGGTCTTGGATATAGAAACAGTTGTGGTTTTTAGCAAAGGGCGTCCCTAGCTAACTCCAAAGGAAAAGCAGCCACTTACATATACATGTGTTTACAGCTTCTTTGTTTACTTCCTTTCTCTATTCTTCTATCTTTGCTTTTTGAAGAATAAGATGCCTACAGCCCTGTATAAAATACCTACATGTGAGATAAAACTTATAAAAGGTCTTTTCTTTCTGAAAAGGACAACTTAAACCCCTAGTGCAAATATTTGAGCCCTTTCTTTCCTTCCTGCTTGTTTTAATGGTGTGCCAAGCCTATCAGAGGTTGAGAGAGAAGGTATGTAGTTATTAGAGTCATTTGGTTGCTTTTGACAAAAGAGGTGATTTAAGGAGAGAGTCATAGTCTTGTCCAAAATTTCAATCATTGTTAGCTATATTTTAAAAATTACAAAAGTAATCCATGGCACTAAACAAGTCAAGCAGAAAAGTTTGTAATCATATCCTCCCCACTCTAAGGCTACTCTTTGAGCAACTAATGTTAATTTGCTTTTTTGTATGTGTTTACAGTTTGCAGAGGTAAATCTTAGATCAAAATCTCAATATAGGGGACCAGACTAGCAAGCTTTACCCCAAAGACCAGCAAAGCACCTTGCAAAGAAATAATCCCATCAAGGGCTCCTCTTTCACCTCCTGGCTCTTGGTATCTCTATGGAGAGGCAGAGTTCCCTGGGATAGGCCAAGGTGGGAAGATAATCTCAGCATCCCACTGACCCAAGCCCAAGGGGAAGGGGTGGCAGGGCCAGGCAATAGTTGACCACATAGAATTCAGAAAGGTGTGTATGAGGCACCTGCCCATTTGTGGTAGGGCGCTTGCAGCCCTTACTCACATCCATTTTGGTGGGAAGGGTGCCTGGTGGTCTGGGGCAGTGGCAAGGGCCTTGTCAGTCAGTCACTGTCTGAAGCTATGTTAAAGGCAAACCTCAGGCCTGTGACACAGGAAGGAAAAGAACAGTGAAGCATGCTCTTCTGATGTCCAGAGGCCAGAGTGGTCTTCTGCAAGAATGGTGCTCTTCAGACCCAAAGGTCCTTGAGAGCACGGTGCTCCTCACAGTCTGCACTCAGCTTTCATGTCTGGATGTCTAGAATGGGCTTTTCCCCAGCATGTCTGCTGAGCCAGATATCAAGGGCAGGGTGGGGGTTGCCGGGAGCCCAAAGGGCCATTGGGCAACTTAGTGGTGTCATTGCAGACACAGAGCAGATCCGGGAGACCCTGAGGAGAGGACTCGAGATCAACAGCAAACCTGTCCTTCCACCAATCAACCCTCAGCGGCAGAATGGCCTCACCCATGACCGGGCCCCGTAAGTTCCTAGTATTCCAGGGTTGGGACAAGAGGACAGTTTTGTCCTGAACCTCCTGTCCCTGTGGATTGCATGAGAGAAAACAAAGCCCTTATCCCTTGCTGGATAGACCCAGGGTGTGTGGACTTAAGGGGAGGCATGATTTGGGGCACACAGATCTGTGGGTCATAGCAAAGAGCCTCAGAGGGGACCCAGTGCACTGTGAACATAAACATCAGTAAATATTTACATGGGCTGAGTGAACAGGAGGCCAGGTTGGGGCAAAATCTGAGATGGGGCCTCCCAGCCTTGTGGGAGCCCATTGTGCTGAGCACAGTCCCCTCCTTATCTTGGCCTCAGCCAGAGTTGCCCTTCCTTCCTTCCTGGAGCCTGGTCTCCGGCTGATAGCTGCAACCCTGGGGGCCTCCCTGTCTGGCCAGCCCCATACTGGATGCCTGCTGCTGAGGCCCTTCTTCCTGCCTCCCTTCCCTGGGGCCCAGGGAAGGAAAGGGAAGTTTTCTGCAGGCCTCTGCTGCTTTCCAGGGGCCTTGTAGCCCTTGGGAGAGAGACTGTAGCCACTCTAGAGGTCAGATCTGCTTCCTGCTAACCTTTCTTCCTCTGATAGGAAACAAATAGTGGGAGGGCTGGAGCTAGGCACCCCTCTCTGCCCTTAGTCCCCGGGTAGCTCTAGGGAATAACTGCTGGCAGGGGGTGCCTGAGAGCTGGCAGCCCAGAGAAGAAACCTTGCCTGCCAGGGAGGAAATTGCTGTGCCTTGGGTTAAAAGGGAGGTCAACTAATCCTGCAAGACCACGGTGATCATCCTTCTTCTAATGAGTCTTCATTACACACTTGCTGTGTGGCAAGCTCAGGACCCAGGGGACCATCTAGGGTGCACGGGCTCTTCCTTTGGAGGAACATGAGTGAAACGATTAACTTTTAATGGCATGCATCTGGCTGTAGATGCAATTTGTTGGAAATGGCTGCTGCTTTGGATTCTAGCTCTAGTTGCTAATTGTGGTCTCCAGAAATGGTAGTGATTCAGTGTCCTATAGAAAAGACAGGTCAGCAAGATCTGGAGTAGTTAGGGAGGGCATCTTGGAGGAAGAAGAATGAGAGGGACCTTGAAGCCACCTTAGAATTTTAACAAGTGCAAAAAGGAGCTAAAGGGGGTGGTGCATGCGAGGCCTGGCTGGTTCAAGTTAAGGCTGCCTCCTGGGAGCAGACCATGGAGTAGAGAGAGTTACACTGGGAACAGGGCTACCTTGGTTGGCTCACCTGGTGAACCTGCCATCCAGAAGCCATGAGAGTTGAACTCTGACAAGAGCCTGGAGAAGCCTCTACCACCACCTCAGAGCAGCTTTCAACTCCAGCCCAAGGATTTCTCCAGCCAGCTGCCCTGAAGTAGGTGGGTTGAGGCACCATGCTCTTCCCCTAGCAGCAGCAAATGGCCTTGCTGAGTTGTGGGGCATCTGGAAGCTCTCTACCTGGGAGTCTGGGCCTTGTCCTCAGGCCATACTCCTTCTCATGCCCTGGCATGGCTTCTTGTTCTGGACCTTGTTGGCACTGATGGGAGGCTAGAGGTACTTGTAGGCTTAAAGTCTCTATCACATTGCCTGTAACTTGGATACAGTCTCAGCCCAGATGGTCCTCCCACCTCTGGAAGGCCAGGATTTCTGGGCAGAATGGCAAGGGTTCCTGCAGAGATATGTCACATTTGCCCCTATTGTATGTCTGGGACAGGCCTGAGATCTCACTCCCTGGCTTGGTTGTACTTCCAGCTGCTGTACCCCTGGACATAGCAAGGGACATGAGGCTCTGGGTTCCCAGATACATGCATACGCCCAGACTTACCCACACTCTGACCGGACAGTGGGACATTTGGTTCTGGTCTGAGGCCTATCTGTAGGCACAAGACAGAGAGGCTGCATCCTCTACCCTTTAGCCTGAGTTGGCTGGGATACAGACAGATGGGTGGCAATAGATCAGAGGTGCCAGCCCTCTGGGGTCACCTCCTGTTCCCTGCAGTTAAGTGCCCAGTCAGCTCTCCAAAGTGCCAGAATCTGCAGTCTGAGGGAATCAGGACATTTCCTCTGAGGTTCTCAGTGCTGGTTACCAGTTTGTTAGCAATTGGTTGAAAATGATTCTTCCTCCTTTGCCAAGAACATTCTCCAACACACCCCTCAAGTCTCTCAGACTCTAGCTTCCTGTTATCTCAAGATCGATGGTGATGGACCCAGTTCAGATTAGCAAGCACGATTGTAGTATCTGTGCTGCCCACCCTGGGACCTGACCCTGTTTCAGATGTACCACATGGATTGCAACTGAGAGCCGACCCAAAATGTGCTGGCACCAGTGTTTGCTACTGTCCCTGTGAGGGAGCAACCAGCGTGGGTCTTATTTTGTCTGCGTGTCTGATTGTGTCAGGCTTTCTGGGTGGGGGAGCTCTGATGTGTGGGTCTTCCTGAGTCTGTATATGGTCAAAGGAGGATGCAGAGATAGGTCAGAGGCTCAGAACAGCTGATCAAGCCTGGGCATTAGCAGCTGAGTTCTGGCCTACTTGGGGGAGCTGCATACTTGCTCTTTTCACACCTCAATAGTAGCTAAAACTTACCCAGTACTTTTTCTGTGCCAGGTAATGATCCAAGTGCTCTGTACCTACACTAATTTAATTCATCTTCATAGCTACTCTATGAAATCAATAATCTTATATATCCCCTTTTACAAATGAGAAACCTGATGTACAGGGAGACTGGTAGGTAACTTGTCGAAGGTTAGAAAGAGTGAGAGCTAAGGGCCATCTATCAGCCATTAAAACGGGTGTGATCCTCCTTACTCCATTCTCAGGGACCCTGTAAGGGACACACAAGACTGTGTCTCTGGGATGATAATGACCCTCACTGGTGGAACTCATTTAACTAGTTGTAGCATGAATAGGGACCTCTCATGTGACACTGAGGGCAAGGCTAAAGCCTCATGTTAGAGGCTTACTGTGCTTATTTAGCTCTAGGGAGGATATGCCATGAGCCTCAATGATTCCAAATGCCAGAAATAACGAGCTGTGTCATAATTGGCTCATTTATACCAGAATTACTTTTTGACACAAGGCCTTGTTTTATTCAAGTTCAGAAACAAAAACAACCCTATCTCTGGCCCCTCTACCACCTCAGGGCTAGGGGATTTCTTTCTTTCTGAGGCCCTATTTCTTGCTTCCCAGAAAGACAAGCCCCTCTGGGTAACCTGTTCCTCTCCGTTGCCAGCCCTCCTCCCACCGCCTTCCCGGAAGGAGAGTCCTTGGCCCTCTTTGGGGCTTCTTCAGCATTTCACAACCCTTGCATTCCAGCCGTGAAATTTGTATCTGGCTTTTCCCAAGATGATCGGTTGAGAAAAGCCTCCTTCAGCTTGCTGGCGCCTCCCTTCCCACTGCCTGCTCTGGTGAGTTTGGGAAGCATGGGAAGCAGCTCCTTTGTGCCACTTGAGGACAGCCTGGCTTCAAGACCTTGCCTGCCAGCATCTGTCAGCAATCTAGGGGGGGAAGTCCCTGGGCATGCTCTCTGTCTGGGTCACTTGGTCAGATGTGGACTGTTCTATGGAGTACTGGCCTTAGCTCCCCAGCCTCCCCACAGTGGCTTGGAGTGGGGTGTGATCAGGTGCATTGGGTGGGGAGGTTAGCATTTCCATAACCTCTTGCTCAGACGCTGGGACCCTGCATCAGTATACCAGTACCTCCTCCTCCCTCAGCCAGTGACCCACCAACGGAGGTTGTGGGAACTTTTGGAGCTCCCTGGGTTGTGCATCCTCCCAGAGAAGGGCAGCACTGATATGTGTGTATGTACATGTGTATTGGAGGGGGAAGATTCCTGACTGAGAGAAGCACTTGGTAGTTGAGGCACCTCTAAAAAGCAAACTCACCATCATTGCTGAGCCAAGTTTCTTTGTCTTCTGGAATCGCACCAGCAGCTTTTAAGACCTGTTTTTTTTTGGCCTCAATTTCCTGGCGAATTAAGGTTTTGTAGCATGAGTTCTCCTGTTGTGACATTCTCATCTGCAACACCTCCCCAACACACACACACCCACACACGTGTACACACATATTTTTTTCTTTCTCTACTTTTATGAGTGCCTCTGCTCCCATCTGTTTGGCCTTTTAGATGGGGTGACTTCGCTGCCTCTAATTCCCATCTTGAATAGCTTGTAACCTGGCCAGGGAGTCATCTTTTAGAAAATTATGTTTTGTTTTGCTCAGCCTATGAGGTCCATGAAGATTAATTAGAAGAAGAAAATATCTCGTTTGCATCCAACCTACCAGTGAATTGGGGTGAAGGAAGGTGAGTTTCCATCTGGGGAAACAGCTGGGCTGTTGCTGGTGCCTCTCACATGCAGGGCAGTGTTGGGTAACCCACTCTAAGGGTCTCTCGTATCAGTGCTGGGGCCAGCCTGGAGCCTGCTCTGTCATGCTGGCTTCCCTCACCACTCCCACGCTGGGGAAGTACAGTTGTTTGCACTGGAAAGAAAAACCCAAAAAGAAACAGCCTTGCTCTTAGGGCCCCAGCCAGGCTCTGCAGGGCTTATGGGAGGAACAGCCCAGGTCTCTCTGCTCTCCTCTTCCTTTTTGCCTACCTTACTGTGATCCATGTTGTCATGCTAAGTGCCTTTCTCAGAAATACACATTTCAAAGGGCAGAACAAGAGGCTCCACAGCATATCTGTCGAGGGTAAATTTCTGTTTTAACTTCATTCTTTGCTCCACTTCCCCAAAGAGATGAAGCCCCAACTTCAGAGTTCCTGACTGACGCTTTGAATTCTCAGTCCAAACACCGCATCCCCCTTCCTCAAGTTGCACAACCAGGAGTATTTTTATCGCCCATCCTTGATCCTCAGTGTCACCCCACACTTCAGCAGTGAGTCATTTTTCCAAGGAAGGGAAAAGGAAGGTTCAAAGGTAAGAGCTGAAGAAAGGAAATGATTCAGTGTCTCAGAAAAAGGAAAGCCAGGGCTTTGGCCCGAGCATGCTCATTCGGGAA